GGAAAGGCTTTCCTTTTGCAGCATACCCAGCCCCACCAGTGATTATTTGAGAGTGCCTGAACACAACAGACAAATTGCCCTTAATCTTCCCCGAGTTTAAGATCATGACTTGTTTATACCTCCCTCTCCCCATCTGCAAGTCTAACACCAAGTGTCTTCATGGTTATGCTACAAACCAGGGAGTCAGACATCGCGGATTAAGTCCTCCTTCAACTTCAGAGTTTACTTGAACTTACTCATCCTCAGGAGCTTCACTAAAACTCCCCTGGACAGGCCCTAAAGGAATGATAATCTAAATATTATGCTAACCAGGCCAGATAAGGCTTTTGAATATGAAAACTCCAAAAGGGTATTTTAAATTAATATCTTCAAAGACTAAGGTGTAATGAGGACCCGAAGTGCTATCTGCAGCTAGTTCCTTGCATCTAAAACAACCATGTGAATACTGCTACTCACAAATTTCACAGTGCATGCAATTGTTTCAGAACATGAAACTAATTGCTCCCTCACTCCATGAACTATGCAGGACATATGTAAATAAAGTAGGAAATGATTAGAAAGAGTAATAGTAGAGCAAGACCTTGATCTTGTGATAAGTGTGGTGCAAAAGTGCTCCTGATAAAGTGAGGTATCCAAAAACCTCAGGTTCCTTTACAATATCAGGTCTCAAGCTCTGGAAGAACAAATAACAGGGAAGATTTCCGAAAAGATGAAAATGGTACATTTTCAACAGCTCGAGATGATTACTCGCAAAATAGCAACAACGCAGAGCACAGAGATAACTGATTGCCTCCTGGGCAAAAATCAGTGCCTTTGCGTTGTAGCTATAAAAGCGTGCAGAGATCAAAGAGAAAAAGAGAAAACTATTTTAGGCTGTCACAAGCATAAAGGTCCTCCTGGCCTTTGGCATCACCAATTACCAAGACACAACCAAAAATCTTTCTTATGCTGCATATGCCCAGGATCACTGTGCAGCAAGGAGGAGAAATCCTTTATTCCAGGAGCAGGGTGCAGGTCCTGCTCCCTTCCCAGCTGAATTCTGGCAGTGTCCACACGAACACCACCACCCCACCTCAGCTCCACACAACATGAGCTGGGACACAGAGACCACCTTGTGTCACCGATGCTCTGAAATAGGAAGGGAGACAAGCCAAACGCTGAGCGAGGTATTAGTTATAACTGTTAGCTATTGACTGTGCTTTACATCGTCAGGCACTTTATCAACATTAATTAATTGAGGTGTTTTCCATTTAATGCTGGGAGAAAAACTACAGCAAAAACATGAGGCTAAACTGACCAACCACCTGATTCAGCACAGCAAGTCCTTTGCACCCAAACTTCAGATTTTCCCTGCAGATATTGTTTTTACTCAAACTACTGAAAATAGAGACATAGATTCAGCAAAGGCCCCAAGCCAGAAGCCCAGAGGTGCGCCCAGCACGAGCGGCGCACAGCTGAGCACTAAGATGCAGCGGCGCTTGCTGCGATGCTCTGCCTGCATCCCCAGCCGTCACCAGCATCCCGCTGCAGCCTGACCCGGGCACGCCTTTTGCTTGCAATTAATTCAGCCAATATTAATTCAAACCCAAATTCAAACACGAGGGTGCTGACACACGGCTCTCCAGCAATGTTACCGGGAGTGCCTGTAATTGCTGTGCTAAGTACCGGGGACACGCAGTATTGATTTCCACCCTGATCTGCATCCAGGTTTAAGCGGAGGCTGCAGCCAAAATACTTCTTCCAGCAAACTCACCATTTAAAAAAAGACTGTCAGGACTGAGAGGTTTGAACGATTAACACTCACGCTAAGGACTGTAACAATACACAAGTTTCATTCCTACCTACCTACGTGCACCCACCATCCACTCCTGCTCTCCCTCTTTACTGAATTCTTCCAGTTTTGTTTTAAATTACATAAAACAGGCCCTTGAAGCGTACATCACCACTGCAAAAATAGCACATTATAGCAGAGAAAAGCCTCAGTGCGCACAAAAGGGGCAGAGTTATTACCTCGAGCTGTCTCAAGCTGCACCGTAATTATACAAATAACACATTTCACAAACTCAGTATTAATTACTGTCTGAGCATAGCACGGAGGCACACATTTACCTCCTTCCACATGACGTGGGACTGACCCGGAGCACCCGCCCGCAGCGATGAGATCTCCACGCTCCTTCCCGTGACACGCAAAGGGACCTGGCGATTCTGCCACGTGCGTCAGGACCGAAGCGGGTCCCCACCGCGCAGCCATCGGCCACCCGAGACCACCAGCACACCCCACGTTGGCACTGGCAGGTGAGCGGCTGCCCACCCAATTCACCAGCCTCCTGCCTGCCTTTAACGTCTCTGCGTAAATCGAACAGCTTGGCAACCCTCCTACTTAGAAGACACACGACAGCAGAGCTATTCAGAGACACTTGTTTTCACCTCATCCTTCTGAACGTCGTCTCAAAATCCTTGAGGAAAAGCATAAGGCTCACTACAGATATCTTGGGCCTGCCTAAACAAACACAGAGTGATGTAGGAGAGCATTTATGGCAGCATATAAACAATAGTATCAAACTTAGGGAGGAAACCCAAAATGAAGAGTGACACTAATCAGTGGGTTTTGTGGAGACCAAGTAACTCTCCCCTTTCTCCTCAATAAGCACGATGAACTCAGTGCTCTTCAGATGCAATTTTACACTTAACTGATTGGCTGCTGTTATAACACCACTGGTGCACGTGGCTGGATATATCACATTTTAAATAATAGCCTCTTAAACTCATGGGGAAAGAAAAAAAAAAAAAAAATGCATCTACAGCTACAAGGCCATGGAGTCACGCCTTGTTAGGGAAGCGTCCTCTTTCCTAGAATGCAGAGCCAAATTTGCCAGCTTAAGGAGCAGGAAGATGGACTGAGCCCTCCGGCAACTTCAGCAGCCGCCGAAGGCGCCCGCTCTCGCATCCAGGCAGAGGTGGGACCACTCTTTGCCACTGGCCACAGGGACCCCACAACTCCAAAGCAAGTGTAAGTGTAGTTATTAAGCAGAAACACGCATGCTTTGGGGGAGTGGAGCGCATTTCTTTGGCACCATTACAGCATACTGACTGTTTTCCAGCACACCAACAGCAAAGGAACCCAAAGAGGAGTTTTGCCATCACTCAACAGATTAGAAAACCTCTGAGGGACACAAAAAAGAAACCCAGACCCTTGGACAGCCACACACACATCCCTCCTTTGCCGGGGTGTGCTGCTGTAATAAAGGCACTGCCCCTCTGCAAAAACACCAGCGTTTATCTCAAAGTCTCCTGGAGAGAAAACGAGCCAAAGCACCGAGCACAGTCGTGGAAACGGGGTACACAGGGGGAGCCAAGGGATTTCACCTGCCGTTCTACGGGAAGGCTGCATTTCCACACTCCCGCTGGTGCCTCCACGGCATGTCACCAGCCACATTCCCGATCCCCCCCGCTTCGGCGGGGGAGGGCAACGGCATCCTCCTTCTGCCCTTTCAGCAGATTTTTATAAAAGAAAGCGCCTCTGTAGCCTGGATGCCGTGTATATGGCAGGGTCCGGTTCAGATTATACCAACAGGCACCTACACACACCAGTTCTGAAAATACCCAAGCGCACACGCGCCTTCACTCACCGCAGCTACCGGGAAGCTCCGCTGGGTCCAGCTCCTGCTGCCCGACAAACCCACCTGATGATGGATTAACTCTGTGTAACACGTGGAATTCACGCACCACACCCCCGCTACCGAAACAGCGAAATACAACAAGCGGGATGGACCAAACCCACGAATTATTCCCTCTAAATGCATCTGCATCAATGCCATGGAACAACAAAACAGCAGCGGTGTAACAGCGGCGTGCCAGGAGCAGCCATGCCCACCAAGGGCTACGCTACCTTTAAAAAACTACAGCTTAACCAAAAAGCAACTGTTAAATAAAGCCTAACCCCCATGTCAAGAGATACTCACAGTAAACAAGTAACAAGTAAATAACAGCTACTGACATTTTTATCACGCAGGTGTAAATTCAGTTCGGCTATTGGGGAAGGGGAGGGCTTGCACTATTTTTGCTCTGACACCCAGGCTGCTCCAGGGCGAACTGTCATGCAAGCCTGCAATTATTTGGTAAATATATATATATATATATTTGTATTTAAATGTTTCTAAAGTAACAGTGATGGCAGCCCTACTTATGAGCAGAAAACAGTGAATTTCAGCCAGATGAGTGCCAGACCCCTGCAGAAACAATTTGGACCCCATTTGGTAACCTTCACGCCGAGCCAAGAGCATAAAATCACTCCCCACTCCCCCCACACCCCGTTTTCCACCCTTGGCCCCCACTGCTCCGGCTCTGAGGCCTGCTGACAACTTTTTCGGGGTTTAAGGGTGGTGGGAGGGGGATGTATGCATCGCGTAAGGGCTGTGCAAGCCTTTCACTCCAGGCTTACGAGAAGGCGTGCCTTGGGTGTTTGGGGGGTCGGCTCCCCGCAGAGGGGTGCCGGGCTCGCCCGCCCGCCCCGCCGGGGTCAGCGGCTCGGCCCGGGGGCCGCGGGGCCGCGGCTCGGCTGTAACATGGCTGCTCTCCTACCGAATTACGAAACCGGCTCTGGGAGCCGGGGTACCGGGGAGAGCCGGCGGGGCGGGGAACGGGCGAGCTCAGCAACGTGCTGGGGACGGGGGGTGGGAAGGTGGGGGGGGGGGGGGGGAATCCCTCCTTGGGCTGGGGGTGCGGGAGCCGAAAGGTCGAGGAAGAAGTAGCAGCAGCAGGGAATGAGGAAGCAGCTGGGGGGGGGGGGGGGGGGGAAGAAAAAAAAAAAAAAAAGAAAAAGGGGGGGAAAAGCAACCGGCGGGTGGAGCCGGGTCCCGACGGGACGCACCCCCACCCCCCCCGAAAAAGCAAATAAATAAAGAATGATAGAGGCGGTTTCCAGGCGGAAGGGCAGCCCCCCCCCCCTCCCCTTTATCCCCCCCCCACGCCGGGACGGGGAAGCGGGGGGCGGCACCCACCTTGCGCGCTGTGGGGGCCGTGCTCCATGGCCGGGTCGCTGCCCAGCTCGGCCAGGCGCCGGCCGGTGGCGGCCAGCTCGGCGCGCAGCGCCGTCACCTCCTGGCCCGCCGCCTGCAGCGCCCCGTCGATGCGCAGCGCCAGCTGCTTGTTGTCGTCCATCATGTGGAGGATTTTGGCCTGGGGGAGGGAGGAAGAGGAGGAGAGAGGTGAGAGAGAGGGAGCGGCATGCGCCGCCGCGGGAGGGGGGGGATGGATAAGGGGCTGCCTGAGGGGGAGCCGCGCGAGTGGGAGTGGGCTGTGCGAGGGGGCGGTGCGAGGGGAGGGGGCTCTGCGAGCGTGGAAAGGGGAGGGGGGAAAGATATTGTGCGAGGGGGGGTGCGGAGGGCAGGGGGATGTGCTGGGGGGGCTCTGCGAGCGGCGTGGAAAGGGGAGGGGGCGGTGCAAGATACTGGGGGGGGTGCAAAGGAGGCTAGGCGAGTGGGGAGTAAAGGGGGGGGGGCTCTGCAAGCGGTGTGCAAAGGAAAGAGGGGGGGCTGTGCTAAGGGTTGTGCAAAGGGGAGGGGGGCTGTGAAAGGAGGGAAAAGACAGGGGGGGCCGAGGAGGGGGGAAGAAGGGGGGGCTGCCCCCTACCTGTTGCCCCCCCCCGGCAGCCCAGGCAGGGCCGCGCCGGAGGCGAGTGGGGCTCGGCCGAGGGCATCCGCGGCGCTGCGCGGCGTTACGCGGCCGCTCAGCGTCTGCTGCGGGGGCGGGTCCCTCCTGCGCGGGGGGGGGGAGGGATGGGGGGGGGGGACGGGACACACACACACACACACACAAACAGGTCTACAGCGCCCGAGCGCTGCCTTTATAGCGAGACACACACCCACCCCCCTCCCGGGGAAGTTTGGTGCTGGTGCTGCGCGGGTGCGGAGTGCTGCAGTGCCCGCAGCTGGCCGCCGGGTGCTGAAAATACCACCAATTAAGTCCCTTTCTGCTAATTGGGCTCAGGTTCACCCCGGTGCGTGGCCATACCCAAAAGCTGCCTGCAGCAAGCGGAGGTCAAATGGGCTAACAAAAATCCCCCCCCCCCGGAAGGATTTGGGTTCTAAAAAATTCCCCCCTGGAAGGATATGGGTTGTAAAAATCCCCCTGGAAGGATTTGGGCTCCAAAAATTCCCCTTGGAAGGATTGGGGGGAGCGAGCTGTACGCTGTCACCACTGTAGCAGCAGTTCATGTGAGGGTCCTTACGCTGCCGGCTCGTGTGGCACGAACCCAGGGTGAAAAATGCAGAATTATTTGGTATCTTCGCTGGCGGCTGCTAGAGGGAGCGCTGATGATTCCCTGTGCCTTATCGATGCCTCCGAGGGATCCACTTGCATCTTTGCCAGGGCCGGGGCTGCAGCAGGGCTGCGGAGCTGCCAGCCTCACCACAGCAGCCGTGCAGCCAGGCCTCGTCCCCGCCAAAAGGAACCGATGATGCTCTGGAAACCCCCCCGGCCCGCACGGCTGCGCCTCCCCGAACCGCTTCCCAACCTGCTCCCCAACCCTCCCCGAACCTGCTTCCCAAAGCTGCGGGCAGCTCAGGTTTTACCCGAGCCACGTGCGGCTTTCAAAGTTCGCAAAAGGGGTGTAGGGACTGGGCAGGAGCCCCCCCACGGCAGCGGGGTGGGGGCCTGTGGGGCCCTGCGGAAACGTGAGTGGGTGTGGGAAGTGCCACGGGGAGCCAGGGCTGGCGAGGAAGTGAAGACACAGAGAAAATCACAGCCCTTAAGGAAGAACGGACAAACAGTCCTGCCCGTGTCTGTACAATTTGCTAAACCCTCCGATATTTGCCTAAACTCAGGCTTTTGGCTGAACAAGCTGAAAATTCAGGGCATTTCCTTGAACTTCAGGATGCTACTTCTGCATCACTGCTGGCATTGCAGGGACCTTAGCCAAAATGCAGTAAAAACGAGAGGAAAAGGCTTCCCTTCTCAGCTGCAAATACGACGCTGGGAGAGGCTTGGCACGAGGTAAAGCTGCAGCACGTCACCGTCCCAGCGCGCAGTGACGGTCCCCGGGGAGCACTCGCTCTGCAGAAGCAGAGGGGTTTGGCACACAGTGTCCCCAGGTGGCTTTTAGGAACAGGAATCAGGTAAATCTGTCATGTCGGTGCTGAAAAACAACACTAAGATCAGCCTGGGTCCCCCCAAAACCTCAGACCTGATCTGGATCGTGCCTACAGCCAGCTCTCCAAGGGTGAACAGGACCAAGTCCTTGTCAAGTGACATCTAGAGCTTGTAATCTGTAAATGGATTTTGTAAAACAAAGAAAATCTAGTATTCGGATAAATGGTACAGTGGCTTTTTCAAGGGAAAGTTATTTTTGACTGAGAATTTCCAGCAGTTTCTAGCGCTGGGCCGGGGCACTTGGAATATCGGTGGAAAGGTCCATTTTCCTTCATGAATTTCCAAAGGGAGGACAAACAACCCGTAAGGAGAATAAATGCAATTTTTTGAATTCTTTCTTCATCATCTATGCAGCCATCTCCGAATGAGATAAAGTTCTTTAAGTATATAGAGAAACTGAATTCTAATCAAGATAAATGCCCGGTTTCATGCCTAATTTGCATGAGTATTTGCTGCAAACTGTGCTTGCAAATGAGAGAATTATGTATGTAACCAGATAACCTGAATGTGCAATCGCTGTACCATATATGCAAAACGTAGTCATTGCACTTGAATAAAACGTAAGCTTCAGCAGAAAGGAACTCGGCTTTAAAGTGCAGGCACATTATTTTTATCATAAAAATTCAGGTTAAAACTGATTTGAGCCTTCCAAGAACACATTCAGCTGCTGAAGCAAAGTCCAAATTATGCTTCTTACTCAATCTAACCTTAATAATAGACTAGTTGAGTTGCTGTACTGGCAGCGCTGGAATCTTTTTAATTTACCGATGCAAGAGAATTTCTACATTAGTGTGTGTGCTATTTAAAAAATATGTTTCCTAAAGTTGGCTGTGGACTCATCTGTAAATTAATAACTTCACTTTAAAAAATCTTCCTTATTACTTAAAGTCCTTTTGAGATTCCCCTGAAGATATCTTGAAAGATTTTCTCCACTTCCCCATGCCTCCTCCCGTCCTTACTAGGGAACAGCTGGGTCCATTTAAAATTGATTTCGATCTCTTGAAGCAGGATTTGATTTCTCCGAGCTTCCGCCTGGAAGGAGCGTGCAATGTCGCAGCAATCCGAAGATATCAGCTGGCAGAGCTCAAGCCCGGCAGAAAATGAGCGATGCAGTCACGAGCACGGGGCAGCAAAGGGGTTTTCCAGCGTGGGGGTGCTGGGGTTTGCTGGCTGCCTGCAATTCAAGAGGCGTGATGGACCCCATGGCATGATGATGGACCCCATGACGTGATGGACCCTATGACGTGATGGACCCCATGGCATGATGATGGACCCTATGACGTGAGGGACCCTATGACATGATGGACCCCATGGCGTGGTGATGGACCCTGCGGCGTGGTGATGGACCCCACAGCCTGCTGATGGACCCCATGGTGTGATGATGGCCCCCACAGTGTGGTGGACCCCACAGCGTGGTGATGAACCCCACGGCGTGATGGACCCCGCAGTGTGATGATGGACCCCGCAATGTGACCTGTGGCATGAGGGACCCTATGGTGTGATGGACCCCTGGGCTTGCAGCGATGCTGACTCTTCATCCCACACCCCGTCAAATGTGCACACCCCTACACGTTCCCAACCCCAAATCCACCTGCATTGTCACCCTGCTTCGGAAATAAGGGTAACCCCCAAAGCTGCAGAGAGGTCCCGGTCATTGCTCCAGCAGCAAAACTGCCTTCAGGAGGGAAGGACTAAAAATATCGCCAGGGTGTGCATTCAAAGTGTGAAACCTGAGGATTGCTTTGGATTGTGCTGATTCCCATCCAGAAGGCCAAGCTTTTGCGGAAATCCTCAAAATTGGGATGAAATGAAGCATTAGGAAATGAATTGGGCCTCGTTCCCTTTCTGCTGTTAGCTTTGAATTAACAAAAAATCAAATTAAAAGCTAATTAAGTAGCCCAAATTAGAAACATACTATTTCCCAAAATTGCTTTGCCTTTTTTTTTTTTTTTTAAATTCCAGCTTTTACCAGGAGCTTGACAGCTGTGCAGCAATTCCATGTCCTTAAGGGATGGGAGTTCCTGGCCACGAAGTGGGGCACAAAGAGGTCAGGAATATCTCCTGAGGACACACGGGAAACCTGAGTCAACGCCAATAAGTCTCAGATCTCCATTCAACCTTAGCTACACTCAGCATCTTTTCAGGTGGTGCAAGGGCAGCCTTGAAAACCTGAAAAAACCCTCAGTCTTGGGCAACATATTCTAGTGGCAGCATCACATCCAGCCAGTCTATTTCTCCAGAATATATAGATGGCATAAACATGGCTGGAGGAAGAGTTGAGAATACTACCCATCATCTTTGCTCTTGTTTCAAACTAAGGAGTACAGGAAAGGGAGTATGAGAAGGTTTAGAAGATAAAAAGTGGCTAAGTATCACATGGGCACTGTTCAGGCCTTCCAAACACTTTAATTTGCTATTTGGATTACCACTTTTTATAGCTCAATATGTACAATATGCAAAGGAACCAGTTTAACTAAATGGGAAAGGCCTTTTGTGTTAAGGATGAATGTAGTCTAATATGGCCCTTTGACTTGATTCAATTAAATCCTTTATTTTCCAATTAAATAATCAGCCAGAATTTAATAAAAATGAATTTCAATGTGTCATCCTGCAGAATGATGACCTCTGAGATGGTGAAGGCTTATGTAAATTCTCCTGATCGCTTTTCATCTGCTTGTGTTTCACTTTCACCAAAAAAAATTGCCTTCTGTTGGTATATTTACATTATTTCCTCATCTGCTCCATGTATCTCTGCTTACAGTAACAATTCCCAGCTGAAAAGGCCGCGAGTGTCACCAGCTTCTTTCAGCACATCCTCTAAATCTGACCTTCTGTGATTGGAAAAAAGATCACCAAAGATGGGAGTTTTGATCTGTGCCTCTATTTTGTTATGCCCTGGCACGCTGCAGTGCAAACAGCAGCAATTTGGCCCTTTCCAAATGTCACCGGAGGCATCTGTATGGCCACTCATCCGCAAAGAAAAGCTCACCAAGAAAATCTGGTCCAAGAGACCAACAAACTTCAACAGCAACCCCCCAAAAAAGCACAGTGTGCCCCGAGTTCAATAGTCTCCTGTAGCACATCTCCGCTAAATAATTTCCACCCAAGTTACGATAGTTGCTAATGTCTACATTTTTTTTTTCCCCTCTACAAAGGTCACATTTTTATTTGTGTATTTATAACTGCCTTTCTCCCCCCTTCTCACTCCTAAAATACTGAGCACCAACTTTTCTTCCTCAGTTGGAGTGTATAGCAGCATCTTAACGCAAACCTTGCCAATGTGTTACTGCTGTGCTGTAGCTGAGATACTAGTGGTTTAGTTAAAAAGTTATTAAAATGGGATTAAACAGAGCAAAAAATGGATGGGTTAAAAATGTGAGTGAATATTCTGTTTCTCCCTGCAATGCTGCAGTGACACATTTCCCCATCTCTGTTTCTGTGCAGGTGAAAGGGTCCCGGTGACCCTCCTGTGCTGCACATCCCTCAGGACCACGAAAACAAACCCATTAATGTTTATAAAGTGTCTCAGACTGGGGGGAATTACATCACCGCGGTGAGATACAAGCTTAATGGATCAAAACAAACCCCAGATCCAAACCCCCCCAGCTTAGACACATCTCAGTTACCTGGCACAAATCTCGAGGAATCCTACTGAGAAGGGATAATTGAGAGAAAAATGTGATCCCAGAGATTTTTCTCCTGTAAACCCATTTTATGTTAATAGGAAGCAGATTTCTAGACCCCTTGCAAACAAATGACTTCCATAGCATATTTCACAGCTGAGCGCATCCATGGCACCAGTCTTTATACACAGCTCTATTAAACCCAACATTTGTTTAATGAATTACAGCAATCTAATGAATCTGTGTAGGTTCACCCTATATCTAAGTGTTTATGGGGACGATGTCAGCAGCCAGCTTTTCACAAGCAGGTATCAATGTCAGTGATGAGATCCTGCTGCAACATACCCAGAAGTTTTAACATTTTGGGTTTCTGCTTTCTTGACTGTTGTGGGCAGTCGATTGCTCCTCAGTTTTATAACACTGTAAGTGCAACTACCCAGAATTTTCAGGGTCTCTACTTAACAAACAGATTCAGTACAAATTTGGGACGGTTTCTCCCCGTTGATGAACCCTGTCTGTCATCTGAGAGATACAAACTGTTGCACATCTCCCACCTGGCTGGGGTTGGTCCGTGCAGCTGAAAGGTGAATGAAGCCATTAAAACTCACAGAGTCAATCACGGCTGACATGCTGCAGCTATTTCCACGATGACCTCATCTTCATCCCACTGGTGAATATATAAACCTTGACAAAAATCTAACTCTGGCCCACCCCCCTGTTTTAACGTATCTCCCACTGCAAACTGTGCATGAAGTGCTCCCTTTCATGGCATATAGAAGCACTAGCGATGATGGTGCTGTGATAATTTAGCCTTCTAGCATGGATACCTCTGATTTGTGGTGGTCCCCAGCCCAGCTCTCCCCACCCAGGAGCAGGTTTGCTGGGTTGTTCCTACGTAGGTGCTGAAGGTCTCACTAAAAGCCCCAAAGGGGCATCCACGTGAGCAGAGCTGCCTGGTTATACTTTGCTGCAAAGAATTTTTTCGTTGCGGTTTGGGCTGAAATATCTCTAAGGAGCTGTTTTTAGCACTGACCCAAGTGCAAGGTCCCTCCTGATGGGAGCTGGTCCCCAGCCGTTGCCCTCGCCCAGCCGCTCCCCAGGAGGAGGGTGCAGAAGGATTCTCCAAGCTCCGGCGCTGGCCCCTCCGGGTGGTTTCAGAGCTGAGCTGCCTGGCAGGGGCTGTGCCCGCTGCGTGGGTGCTCAGCGGTGGCTCAGCAAAGCCCAGGACCTCTGGCAGCGGTGGGCGGGCGAGTGAAACGCCAGCAAGATGTGGAGACCCAGGAATGCAGCTGGGGACTACAAAATAGCTCAGCAGCAGCCAGTGGGAATGCACTGGCAGGAACAAGGAGAGAGAGCACGGACCCAAACGTGGACGCACGGCTTGGCAGCAGTGGTGAAACCTGCATGCCGGTTCTGTAAAACTGCCTGGATTTCACAAATAGCTTTCCATAAAGGAAGAGAGAAATAGGGAGCAGACAGAAAGAACTTCAGGCAAAGTCTGTACGAAATGTCGTTTCCTCATCCCTTCCCTGTTACAAATTAGAGGGGAAAAATGTGGTTTGGTTTTGCAAAACTGCAGGGCTGATCTGGGAGATCAGGTCTTACTGACTTACTACAAGATATCATCTGTCCTCTTGGGAAGGGAAGAATGGGAAGTCCAGTCCACAGAGACATTTGCTTGGAAGACCCAATTTACCAGCTGTTCAGACACCAGTATAAGGATCATATAAAAACTAAAATGAATAGGGAGATTCTGAAGCACTTAGATAGCAGGATAATAGGTGCCAGGAAAAAAATCCTTTGATCAATCAGCAGACAAATATATACTTAAATTAGGTGTTAGTGGGACAGATAGAGGAAAGGTGATTATGGGTTGCCTCTGTGTTTCCTTTGGCAACATGATGACACACCAGGGTGGGTCAATGTACCCTATCATTAATACAGCGTCAGCATTCATCTGACGGTTTCTTTGTCCTGTGAAGTCAATTCCTATGAAGATTTGACATTAGCCAAGAGGCATGGTGAAACTCAGACACCTTTTCATGACCCTCTAGATGCCTTAGCCTGGCACATTAGAGGCAAGACTCCTGTCCTAAATTGGGCAGGAGGCAGGAATGAACATTTGTACCCCTCCATTTCAACTCTGGCAGTAAATACCATCGACAAAAAACAGTGGAAGAACAGCCCTTTCCTCCCTCCCTAGCAAACAAAGCTAAAAATGGAATCTACAGGGCAGAGCACATGGGAAGAGTCAGCTAGAGAGTCCTGGAGAGGGAAGATGTTAGAGAGAAATGTAATTTTTTACTATAGTATTTGTGAAGTAAGTAAAAGGTAAGATCTTGAGTGTGGTTCAGGCCTCTAAAATAATCTTAAGTTTAATGCAGAAATGGCAAGCTTCATAGAGTAAAGGAGAGGGGATTTAGCATGCGCAGCGCAGCTTCCCCATGGCCACCTGCCACCCGGGGTGCACACTAGCATCCACAAAATTCCCACGGGTGTTTTGGGGACCGTACAGCACAAACTAACAAGAGTGAAACTTAATTTATTCTTACAAGACTGCCCAAGGCAAACCATCCTTCCTTTCCATTTCAAGCGGGAGAAAGCACGCTCTGGTGTAAGTGTCATCGTCCTCCCTTGTTTTGTCGTTGGCACCGACGCGGGGGGCACACCTGGTTTGGGGATCACTTGCAACAAAAGAGTGTGGCTGGGAAGCGTAGAATAGTAAAACTAGATTTTTTTCTTTTTTTCCAGATGCTACCAGCAGGGTGGACTAATCCTGTATTGCATAAGATTGCAAACGTACAGTTACATTCCCCACTAAACTATGAAAGCTCTAAAAAGATACATAAAGTTTCAGCATTGGGAAGGCAGCTGAAAAAACAGAGCAATAGTCATACATATACACATTATATGATTTAGAGTCATGTGTTAAGAATTCAATATGTATTAATTGATCCTATACATTTGGGGTTTGGAGTGTATTGGTGTCCATCTCCTTAACTGTCCATAATGCAGGTTGGCTGGAGTCATCTACTCTGTGAAAAATAGCACTTCTTCAGGATTGAGAGAAATCCCTTTACATCAAATAATTCACAAGTATTTTATTTCTTTGGTTAGGTAGGAAAATAGTGCAGATCTCCTTTCACAGGATGGGGAAACTGAGGCACAGATGGGCTGAAACTGGGTGTGAAGGAGTGCTGTGACCCACTGGAAAAGGGCACCTACTGCAACCCATAAAACACAGCAAGCCTTTCCAGTTAAATAAGGAACAATTCCTTCACCTCTTAGCTAAAAAACTGTAGTGTTATTGGTATTCTCATGCAGTGCCACACTTGGGAGGAGTGCTGGTCCTCATGTTCAGGGCGATTTTTGTAGTGCTCTGACAGTAATGAGGCAGAGGTGGAGAGACTGGGGTTAAAAACCAGAGAATGGGAAACTGTAAGCATGGGGACATGGCTGCTTGTGCTATCTTGACTCAAATGGCTCAGAATATTTTCTACTTTCATGCAGTATACAAAACCCAAAAATGGTAACACAAAGCCTCACGTTTTAGGTATTGTACTAGCACACAGGTTTTGTCTAAACAGGGGGTTTTAATGAAATCTGCTGGAGGTTGATTTACCCTAATGTAACACCCAGCCATGGAAGGGCAGGGGACATGCTGCTTCTAATAAAGTCCATTTAGCTTCTGACATAGATTACTTTTTAAAAAAAAAAAAAAAAAACAACCAAACAACCAAAAAAAAAAAACCACACCAAACACACAAGTGTGATAAAGTATCTCAGTATAAAATCAATACTGAGGCGATTAGCAGCCTTTGAAAAATTCTGGCTCTAAGTCAGCTCATGGCAGAGATCAAATGGAGGTGCTGTCAACTCCTTGGGCATTTTACTTTGCTACTGATATATGGCAGTTAAAATAATCTAAAATTATTCCCATTATTCCTGCTTTTTCTCCCTTTTCCCTGGGGGAGCACCACACAGCCAAGCACCCATCCCGCCCACCTCCCAGTCTGCAGCATCACCTCCCCGCCCAGCGCTCCCCATCCGCAGGACGGCCCATGCCCAGGGGGGAGGCCCCAGCCTGTCAAGGTTTTCTTAGAGGTTCCTACACTTTGGGGGAAAACTGGAGCTAAGGCTGATCAGCCGTGAGCTGCCACAGCCAGCCCCAAGTCCCTCCGTCTGATTCCCAGCTGCTGCCGGGAGCAATCTGCGGTCCCAGGTGGATAGCACTGGTCAGCAGCCAGCACGCCAAGGGGAGCTCAGTCCTCTACTAGAGAGAAGGATTGAAGCATTCTCTAGCCCTTCAGCCAACTCAGGTGAGACTTATTAATATTCATGTTATTGATATTAATAGCTTTTCATGAAAACGGGGAAGTTTTCCCCAAGCCTGGTACAAAGGGAGACGCCTTCAAGTGAAGGCTTGGTGGAGCAGAGGGATGCAGGGGAACACTACGCATGGTCTTGGAGAAAGTGCAGATATGTAGGACTGACTGAAAAAAAATAAGGATGCAGAATGCTAAATAAATTATAATTTTAAAAAAGCACAGCTGGATGGATTCCTTAGAAAAATCTAGACATGTTGTTAAGCTCCAGTGTTTGCAGGAGGTTCTGTGGGTACCAGCATGTTCGTCAACCCGAAGGTCTTCGGGACAAGACCCAAATCACTAAGCTGGCAGGACTGTTGACAGAGGGATTTTAAGAAGGTGATACATATAAAACCTATTGATGGCAATGAAACAGAACAGGACAACTGCCAAGCTCTTATGTTTGCTCACTGTCAGAAGGTTTTATAGATACAGAGATATATATCTACAAAGCTATTCAAGTGCATTTAATTTTTCCAAGACCCACGTACTGTAGCTTGTATAAAGGTAATATGTTTATCCTATAAAGTTAGTGACTTTATAATGCAGTACTTGGCTCTAGGGAAGTTTTTGTATTATTAACTTCCTTCCAGTGCATACAGAAAAATAAAACCTCTCCCCATCGAAAATCCTAGGATGAAGTTCTGTTGGGTGCTGACTGCAGTTTGTTGTGCTGCCAGGGGCACAGGGGTGGACAATAAGCTTGGAAAAATCAAGGACCTCAAACCTGATGGAGAAGATGTGAGCTGAGGCGTGGGAAATAGATGGCTGGTAGGTGGGGAGCTCGCTCTGCCACGGCACAAGACAAAGGGATGAGGAAAAAAAAAAAAAACATGGTTCCTTTTATAACATCCACATTCATGTTCCTAAACAAAGTGTTAGGCCAGACCTGCAGTGAGAGGGGGTGATGCTCCATCCCTCACGCCACTCACTCGCCAAAAGATCCAAACACAAGAAATGACAGGATTGTTTGGCTGATTTTCTTGCCTTCTGATGGCACCCCATTAAAGCTAACGGTTCATGATCTGCACCAGACCAGCTCGCCTCAAGATAAAGATCTGCCTCATTTGCAGTTACATAATTAGCAATTACCCTAATTTCACTTACATTAAATTACATTTTTTTTTTAAATCAACGTTATCTTTTCTGATGAAAAAAATAAAGCGGCCTGGGTCTACTTCAGACTGTTTTATAGAAAGCAGCAGCATCATTATCCTGTTCTCAGATATAATGTCTAGACACTTTTAATGAAAATATTCATTATTGCTAATTTGCATCTCTTTCAATTCTAGGATGGAAATCAAATGAAGATGTCAAAACAGTGCTACCTCTGCCCCAGGCAGAAAGGAGACACGGTGACCCCCAAGTCCTTTCAAACAGGAGCTTAGCTTGTGTGAAGAGAAAGCATCTCTGGCATCCTCATAATTGAAGGCAGAGCTAGATAAAGGATGAGCAAAGAAAACCAGAGGAAAATAAGAGTGTAAGAATCTGGATCTGAAATCTGTGGCCTTAAAGAGAGGAAAAACCAGGAAGCCCAGCATCAAGCCACCAAAACAGCACAGAAATCCTGCTCAGGTGGGTTTAGTTTTGTGAGGGCACCGAGCTCCACCGAGTTATAAAAAGGGGTTGTAAAGGAGAGTAAGGGAATTTCCTCCTGACCCCCCCTGCATTTCAGCAGGAACAGAGGCTCTTGCGTCCCTTAGGCTTATTGGAAAACCCCCAGCCTTAAACTGCACAATGTGTTGAAATACAGATGTTAATCAGTATGGTGATAACTCACGTGGGTTTAGTAGAGACTTTTCCTGAAGATAAAGTACATTTTAAATGTACTCCTTACTTGCTAGTAACAAAACTTGCCATTAGTACAAGGAAATAGATATTATACCTCAGAAATAAATGCTTCACCGAGCTTGGAGAGTAAAGATAAAATAATCTTTTTATAGCAAATAGGGATGACTACTTAAAAATAATAAAAAGTTGGTGAATATTCATTTGAACTCCTAAGCAAATTTGCCCTTGTCATATTTGCATCTCTCTTGTGTTCTCTTTCTGTGCAATGGAGTTTTATTAGCATGAACATTCACAGAAAGTGAATTTGAAGCCTGAATACCCATGGGAAATGAATTTTAAATTCACTTGCTGTGTGCAGTCACCCAAGAAACTTGATCATAATTGTTTATTATACTTAAATATTTATATTGTGGAAGCACTTGTTAGGTAAAAAGGCCGAGTGCTGGGTACTGTACAAACACTGTCCCAGGCTTACAGAAATTACCTCCATCCCCAGCAAACACAAATGGTGACGTGTGACAAGTTCAACCAGGCTTGGTCACGTAAGAGAGGTGAGATGGCGAGCAGCAAATTTCAAGGTCAAGAACAAGCATTGGGGTGGAGGGGCAAAAGATCAAAATATTCCTGCAATTTTCCAAGAAAAATTGAGAAAGTTGCAGTGTATCCACTAAATGACAAGTGTGTTTGTACGGGATATTTGAAATAGAGTCGGGGATTTAAAGCTCGTCAGAAACATCCTCGTCGAAGCTTTTTTACTGCCTGAAGTCCTATGGCACGGGCTCCAGCTTTCGCTCGGAGTTCAGACTACAGCACGCGCAGTGCCTTTAGGGTTTACAATGGATTCTTACATTTTTCCATTCCCCTCCCCTGCTCCCCATTTGCATCTACAAACGCTCCCGACAGCGGCACCGGCTGCTGCACACAATGTCACTGCCTCCCCCGGTGGATTCCTAGCAGGACAGCGGCAGCTCCGGAGCTGGAATCACATCCCTGACCAGTTCGTACCTTCCCAACCCTCAGAGGCAGCACCGGGAGCTGGCTGTGCAGGGCAGCGTTGCTCCCAGCTCACCTCCGTGCTCCAAAGATACTTCTGAGTTGTTTTGTTGGGGGTTTTTTTTTTGAGGGATGGGTGGCACTTTCTGCAATAGCGGACCCAGGTTTTGCTGGGTCACACAGCCCTACAAATCATTTATGCCCCGCAGACCTCGCAGCAAGGCGCAGGCTGTCCCTGCTTGCACTCTGCACTCTGGAGAGGATTTTGCTGCACGATGCCAGATAAACTGTATTTTTTTTGCAGGGGAATCAGCCTCTCAGGTCCCTCAGCCGTGCTGGGAACAGACCGAGGGGATGCCCTGACAACTGCCACATCCCGGCGCTCCGGCCCTGCCCGGCATCCAGGAGCAGCTCCCTGCAAGAGCCCTGCAAACGGCACTGCTGCACTCCTAGTCTTCGGAGGGAGGAGGGGGCATGTCAAGAGCACGCTTTCAGACCAATCTTCGCTAAATTATTTTTCTGAATTGCTTGCCTTGGTCTAGAATGGAATGAGGGAGCAAATTTTTTATGATTATGGAGGAATAACTGCAAGGTCAAAATCCCTACTGGAAGTGGGGATTGCACCCACGGACTGGAGCACAAGTAAATTACCAACTATTAGGGGCTGATGAACAAAAAAACCCTGAAATTGAAGCTCAAGTTACAGTAATAAGGATGCACAGGAGACAAAATTGCATTAGGACATGCACTATCTTCTGGATTCACCACCGGGAGGAGGGGATTCAGAGCCGCCCCTCGGAGCACTGTCAGGTCTCCATCAGCTTCCCCGGCCCTTACATAGGACTGTGTCTTTTAATTATCACCCACCATAGTCATATTAGGGTTGCCTGTGTCAATCTGCATTTGCAGCACACTGCGGTACAACAGTTCCCTGCTCCTCCATAGAAATAGCAGGTGTTATTGGCAACATAATTACATGCCATTAATAATTATCAAAAATATAAATTGCCCCAAAGATGCTTACAAGCAAATCGGATATGGTATTTCACAGTGTTTCTTTCAAACACAGGCCACCGAGGTGATGCTGGTATTGAAGTGGAAAGCTGTAATTAGGTGAACGTGAGAAGCAGAAGAGGAACCTGATGAGGCAAAGCAAGAGAAACCGGGACTGGGGACCCTGCCGCTGAAACCGCCGTGCGAAGGGTCAGTGGCCCGAGGCTGGGGGCACCCGCTCAAACAAAACTGTTTCTGAGTAAGCTCGAGCTGCCTTCAGAAAACAGTTGAGATCCAGAGGGCTGGAAAGGGGAACAGCAAGAAATCAGCACTCCAGAGGGGGATGATCTTGTGCCAGGGGGGATAACGGGGCTCCATCGCTGGATGGAGCATCCTCTCAGCAGGAGCAAAAATGGGGACCCCCTGCGCCTGGAGAGCTCCGAGGCTGGGGGGGGGGGGGGGGGGGGGGGGGGGGGCACATGCAGCACTGTAATACCCACATACCCGCATTTATATCTTCTTTTATCAAAAAACCAAAAAGATAAGCTAAATGCTGTGAGCAGCGTGTCACTGCTGCCCGAGCCAGACAGTGTGGCTCAGTCCTCTCTGCTTTCCACCACCATGGCAGAAGATGCCCCACGTCACGGGAGTGAGATGGATGATATCAGGGAAAGGAGAGGAAGGTCATAACCTCAGTACGTGGGGCAACTCCAGAGTAGCTACTATAAGAAAATTCAAGTGCTAAACGGCCTGAAAACACCTTATCCAGGACAATATTCTGTTGGTTGCAGAGGAAGTCAAAGTTGTCTCTGACGGCTTGAAGTGGTTAACTATACAGCTTCTTTAAACCAGGGAATTAATGACACTGAACTTCACAACAACAACAAAAAATTAAAGGCACCCCAAAGAATGTTCTCTTAATTGTAGCAGCCTGCTACATTAAAGCTGCTATAGGAAAATTCATTTACAATTCAGCTATTAAATTGCAAACCATTACCACTGCTTTTATAGCTTTATATTCCTCTAACAAATTTATTATGTAATTACTCTGTGCAACAGCATCGTTTCTAGCAAGCAAAGTTGAAATAAGGCACCTATTTCAAAATCCTAACAATTCTGCGTTTTCCAGATGTAATTTATACAAAAAATGGAAAAACATCACGGTGCAGTTTTCTGCCTAGGACTCTGAGACTTTTGAGTACGGAGCTGGAGTCTTGACTGTTACCTGGCTTTAGTTATGATTAGTAAATACCCACATTTTGGATGTCTAAGGGCTGGGGCTCAGACCCCCATGAGGACCAATGTCAGGGATTGTTGCATGTGTCGTTCTGAGCCAGAACGGGCAGAACTGGGCAATAAAGGCGGGATAGAAGTGCTCGGCTCCAACAACGGCCATTTATTGCTGTAGGAAATGCAATTGCTTTGCTGGCCTCGGGACTTGCTCCAATGGCTCTCTGCAGCGGCACAGCTGGGGCTCGGGGAGCTGGCGTTTTCCCACCTGCCAGGGTAGGACCCCCAACCAATTCACTGCTTCCAAAATAAAACATAATAAAATTAAATTTAAAAAATTGGAAAGGCATTTTCTGCCTCTTGTTTTCCACCTCTGCAAAATAAATCTGTAAATAAATAAATAAACTTTGGGGCGTCATAAAAAAAACCTGCATAAAGGGACATTAATCAGGACATGCATTTTCCGGGCAGAATGACTAGATTATTGTTGGAAGACGCAAATAAATTCACATCATGTGCCTTTTTTTGATCCTTCTTCTTTTTGTATCACCCTCATCCAAAGGAGGAGACAGTGTTGGTATCCAGCTCAGGAATCTCTTGAGCAGATTAAAGAGCCAATTATGCTGGATTTGGGGAAGCTGCCTACTGTCCAGCCTGAATCCATCGTGCTTTATAAATCCCCAGATTAAACACTGGGTAGCTCACAGCCCCTGCAGCCTCACTCCCCTGGCCAGCCACCAGCACCTCCGCGGCCATGCCGTGACCATGAAGCCAAATCTTTGGAAGCAATTCCCTTATCTCATGGGGCTTTCTTCTACCCTGATATACCAGCAGATTTTTCTCACCCTCTTCTCATTACCTGCGGTCATACCTCGAAGCTTACTGTAAGCATGTGCCCTTAGGGATGCACTGAAATTGGCACCACGGTGCTTGGCTGAGCTGGCCCTCGGGGGATTTTATACAAACTCAAAATAAAAGGGAGGGAAATGAACAAGACCCCAGTTTTGTCTAATTATCATTATCCTTGCTTATAATAATAATCTGATTACCATGATCCTTACAGTTTTGGTTTAGCTGTTTGTTTTGAAAAGGAGGGTCTTTGGGGGTCCCGAGGATGCAAACAGAAGGCAGAGCAGGGGCTCCTGCAGACTGAGCAAGGTTCCCAGCGCATCCCAGCCCACCGCTGCTGCAAGTCGGGGAGGAGATCGATGGGGGGTCCCCGCTGCAGGGTCCTGGCGACTCCCCGCAGCCTGGCGAATCCTAATGGCCCAGCGAACCCGTTTAGTTATGCTGGAGGCATCTCCCTCAGCTCGCACATCGTGAATTGCTCCTTACAAGGGCTGAATGCCCCAACCCTCCCCCTCCCGCGCTCTCCATTCACGGCCTCGGAGCCGCTCGGCTTCTGCTGCCCGTGCTAACAAGGTCTGACTTCACGGGATTATTTAATATTTATTCAAAATGTTTGCTGTGGGTGTAATGACATAATCACTGAGGCCAAGCCCGATGTGGCTACAGAAGCACAATGTCCCCCTCTCCCCAATAATAATGAAATCCCTGCAAAGAGTTGGGGGGAATGAGCTGACAAGCCAGGATAATTTATTCTGCTGAGCCCAGTGCCTGCCAACACGGCTCAGTCTGGCGTGGGATAGACTTACTGGGAGCAACCAGGCTGGGATTTGCAAAGAGCAGGAGGAGGAGTCTGAGAGAATTAGATACCCAAGTCTCACCGGATTCAGCAGGAACTGGCTATTCAGACAGCCCAGGATTATTTTTCTTCTCAGGTTTGTCTATTAGCTCAAGTGCCACTAACTAATGTGGGTGATCAATGTATTTCCATCAAGTATGTGGGGAGGAGGAGTTCAGTTAAAAAGAGGTTTTTAAGTAAAGTTAGAGTGATAAAACAATTGAGAAGAAAGATACAGGAGGAGAATAAATGCTTACATTTCCCCCCAAAAATAAATTGTGTCTTTGCATACCACAAAAAAAAAAAAAAAAGAAAACAACAAAAACAAACAAACCCAACCCTTAATGCATGCTTTTCTCAATGTTGTCCCAAATTTTCACTAACAACAGTTACTTTTCCTAACCCCTGATACCTGTGACACTGAACTTGGGCAGCAAGTTTTGCTAAGCTTCAGCATCCACCTGTGCCGGTCGGGTCAATGAGACCACTGGTACCAGCGGCTTTCCGCAGATAAAAGTTGCCCCATCACCATTTCATAAACGATCTCAAAATGTTGCAGAGATGGGAGCAGCCAGACTTCAAAGGGAACCTGCCACCTAGGTTTTTGCTCTTTGCTTTTTCTCCTCCATTCCTTTAAAATAGATCTTTACTATAACTAGGAGCAAGATTTCTACGGAAAGGAGCCATTAAAAAAAATATAATTGGATTTTAGCTTTTTTTTTCTTTTTGATTGACAAACTGATGTGCCTGGTGGTTCACTCAATTATATGTCACTATCATCTGAAGTAGGGCAGGGAGACTTCTGAAAGGAAAAGCCCCCCACAAAAATGCATTTTGCCGGCAGCTGTCAGTCACTGGTAAGACAAGACCTTCCCACACAGGCATCCATGGGAGCGGATGCTAAAACAATTAATAATGATTTCCCCACCTCCCCCAAGACAGCCAGACAGGGAAGGACAGTGACAGCGCAAGGACAGGGATTTGGTGCATAAAGTGCATTGAGAGTGAGAACTTGCACCTCGTCTCCCCATGGGCACCCAAATCTTTGCCACGGCGACAACCGAAGGGAGAAAACGTCCCAGTTGAGCGTGTCCCCGGGGGGGGGGGGGGGGGGCTGGCCAGCTCGCAAGGCTCGGGGGTGCCAGCAGGCAGGGCTTTAGCCGTTATTAGGGTGCTGAGCCCCCGCACCTCTGTTTGAAGGCCCCGGCTCCCCACATCTGCCGCGGGAAGCCACAATCGCCACGGAGCCGGCGGTTGCTATGGTGACTGTGGATTTCCTTAAAACTCCTGCAAAAAGGAGACCGAAGGCCCAGGGAAGCACAGGAGCAGCAGCTCCTTAGCTTAGGGAGGTTTTAGGGCTGTGTACGGATGCTGCCCGACACCACCTCCGGCCGAGCAAGTTGTGCCCTTCAAACAGACCCACGTTGGCCCCAGGGTGGTTATTTCTGTACCCTGGCCAACATCACTGGTGAGGTCTTTGCTGGCTCATCTCTACAAGATGCCAGTCTTTGTCCAGCAATTATATTTACTTCAGCAGCCTCCAAGGGTTATCTAAAGATGCAGCTCCTCCATCAGCAGAGAAACTGGTTTTTAATTGCAGCCCTTCTGGTGGGGGATGAACTTTCTTCCTTCACCGATGTATTTTTTAAATCGCCTGGGGAACTCACAGGACTGGCAGACGGAGAAGCAAAGCCCCCCAGTTACCCAGATTACATCCCAGCATGTGGGCAGGGCAGCCCAGGCCCCTCACACCGCGCTCGCATGCTGCGGTGGGATTTGAAGCTAGCATCCCAGTCTGGAACTGGGATAAACTGGCAGCCTGAAGCACAAGTGCTTCTCTACAAGTACCTAAATTCAACTTCGCCCCTTGATGTTTTAAAATGGTGGTTTGTCCCTCCCCAGCCCCGGGGAGTCAGGATGAATCCATAACCCCATTGATTTTAACAGCGGAGTTATGTGGTACCCAAATCCAGAGGTGTTGCTCCCCAGTGATTGGGATGCATGCGAGCAGAACATTTCCTAGACAGCTTCAAATGAAGTGGCTGGCAAAATCCCATGGGAATATTTAGTTAGGATAAGAAACATATAGAAACACAGCTTTTGGAGCCATCTCGCAGTAACTTTTGTTTCCATGGTGACTAATGTTTGTGTTTATATCTAGTCCCAGTGTTTCTATCAGATTTTGCTTCATGGAACAGCTGTTACAAGTCATTTCACCAAGACAGATGATCCTGATAAGGACCAAAGTTTCCATTCTACACAAATGCACATTTATTTAATAAAATCCAAATAATTCAAACCCGGAAAAGATCTGTGCTTCAAAAAAATTGATTATCAATGCAGCCGCCTGATGGAAAGAGATTGAAAGCGGCCACAGAATAGCTGCTGCCTAATAAGAGGGTGATAAAAAACATAATAGAAAATAAATAAACCAACTCTGAAAACGCTAGTAGCTTTATTAAATTTGGCCATGATCTTTCTATCCTTGGGCTTTATGCACAAGTGTTATGCCTAAAAATGACCTCCTGCTGATTTTGATGGAGCCATCAATAAAGAGGGTCGAGGGGGGCTGTTGGCTCCCCCAGCCTCCCGCCTGCTTTCATCCCTTCTCACCACCTCATCCCTCTGAAAAGCTGCTGAGAGCAGCCAGAGGAACTGAGCACAGACTAAGCAGGGCTTTCGTACCTAATAATCCACATTCCTCAAATATCCCATCACTGTAGCTTTTATATAATAGCCCCATTTCCATTTCAAGTTAAATACTGATTTTATTTTATTTTTTTTCCTAAATGGGCTGGTTCGTGTTTAGCTTCTTGGAGGCTTATTTTAGCCTCTTTATTAATGTAGTCACAGGCCAAAAACTCACAATATGAGCTCCCTGGTTGGACCTAGGCTTGGATCAAGCCCCCATAGAGGCTCTGTGGGATCAGCAGCTTTCCCTAGGCTGAGCTTGTAACTAATGAAAGAAGGTTGATGCCACAGTCATCTCTGACACTTTATGCCTCTGGTTTTGCCCTGGAAAGATCAAAGTGTTTGAGATGTCCAGGCAAGGCCAAGAGGCTCTGGAGATGCTGGTATGTTTGGAGATGGCACCTCCTGGCAGTGCCCGAGCGGGCATTAGGCTGTTGGCTGCCTCCCTCCTGTGGCTGGGTCATGCCACGGGCAGAGGTGGGTCCTTGGGTCCAGTGATACATAAAAAAATATTCAATAAATCTGTTTTTAGATACGCAGCTGGAGGCAAGCACCCTGCTTGTCTTGTGGGAGACCTTGGCTTGAACTGTGCTGCCTACTTCTGCCACTGTATGTCAGGAAAGCTGTAAGGAAATTGTGACAACCCAGAGCAGAGCATCAGGAATGAGGAATATAGGAGAAATAAAAAATACCCTTAGTACTATTCTACCTCTAGGCTTTTTGCATTTGCCTTTCCGTAGTGCCATCCCCAACACGGACCTGCCCAGGCAGCCCCACGGTTGCTCCCCACATCTGCCCGCGCAGAGCGGCGGTTTGCAGGAGCTACGAGCTGCTTCCACAGGCTGCTGTTTTACTCTTGCCGTCTTTTTCTTTAAAATTTCTCTCTGCTTGCATAGGCCCTCGCTGAAATCCTAACAGGGCTCACCAATTCATTCACGCAGCACAAGGCACCAGACCAGTAGCAGT